GTATGGGACTGAGTTTTTATTTTTTGTTTTTTTTAGACGCTTTGTTTTCTTTGAAATTCGAAAGATTTTAAAAATAATAATTTAGTATTTTTTCTGTTTACTCGCGTTCATTGACTCTTTTCAAACTGTCTGTTGGCTATGTTTTGTTGTCAAATATTTAGTTAGTGATCAGCAAGGTTTGTAATTGGGAACTAGTCTTTCCTATCGTAAAAAAACTTCAAACTAAAAATGGCGAAAAACAGATATAGCAGCATTACTGAGTTTCTTGGGGTTAGTATACATAGTATGTGGTATATAATATTCGTCTTCTGAACAATTTAACCAATTTTTTTTCACTACAAGCCAGTTTTAAACGTCAGTTGGAATGAGATAGCTTGGTGCTGGTTTGGATTTGGTGTGTTTCGTTCTGTGTTTTCCGAAAAAAAAATGCTCTCGCTCGAAACTATAAGGCAGAAAACTTTACACCGGTTAACCTCGACACTGGTTTCTGATAGCTGATTTTGCGTTGAAAAGTAAGCAAAACTGGCTGTAACAGAAAACTAAAATAAACCCGAGGACAATGTTTTCCTATGTCTTCAAACCAAGGTTTGAAGTTTTCGCTTTTTAGTCTAATTTTGTGCTAGTAAACTGAGAAAGTAACCTTTGTTAAATGAAAATCAGTTCTTAGGCTTAAAATTTTTTTTGAAGAAGGAGAAAAAGTTGATGAAGATTCATACTGCGCTTCCCGGACACTTGAAAAATGGAAAGTTTGAAATCTAAATACTTGTTCTATTTATTTTTGCACTTGCGAAAGCAAGTATCTTGTAATCTAATCGGGATGGATACTTTTTCCCCTGAAAAACAACTTTTTTCAAATTGCCATCTTGCTGTATTACTGAATCTTGACAACTTCCTGTTTTTTTCTTGCACTTGGGCTAGAGGTAACGCCGTCGCCTTTGCACCCTAATGTCCGGGGTTAGAATGCCGATCGGATGTTGTTTTTTTTTGTTTTTCTAGAAGTACGCAATTGAATTTTTTTTTTTGAAACCTGATTTGTCGAACTTTCGTTTGGTTTAACTGCTTAAACTATATCGGCGTTATTGCCACACCACTGTTATAATTGTGTTTAGGGCAAGTATCATGGTACTTGCAAGTATTAATCATTTCGTAAGTTTTGTTCGGTTGCCAATTTAAAATTAAATTATTTGGCTGTTTGCTTAGAATTCCTGTTTGATAAAAACAAGTTCAATGAAAATGTATGGGACTGGGTTTTTTATTTTAGTTTTTTTAGACGCTATGTTTTCTTTGAAATTCGACAGTTAAGATTTAAAAAAAAATTAATTAATATTTTTTCTGTTTACTCGCGTTCATTGACTCTTTTCAAACTGTCTGTTGGCTATGTTTTGATTGTCAAATATTTAGTTAGTGATCAGCAAGGTTTGTAATTGGGAACTAGTCTTTCTTATCGTAAAAAAAACTATAAGTTAAAAATGGCGAAAAACAGATATAGCAGCATTACTCAGTTTCTTGTAGTCAGTATACATAGTATGTGGTATATAATATTCGTCTTCTGAACAATTTAACTAATTTTTTACTACAAGCAAGTTTTAAACGTCAGTTGGAATGAGATAGCTTGGTGCTGGTTTGGGTTTTTTTGAGTGTTTCGTTCTGTGTTTTCCGAAAAAAAATGCTCTCGCTCGAAACTATAAGGCAGAAAACTTTACGCCGGTTAACCTCGACACTGGTTTCTGATAGCTGATTTTGCGTTGAATGCCGAACGGATGTTGTTTTTTTTTGTTTTTCAATAAGTACGCAATTGAAAATTTTTTCCTTTGAAAACTGATTTGTCGAACTTTCGTTTCGTTTAACTGCTCAAACTTTATCGGCTTAATTGTCACACCATTGTTATTCTTGTGCTTTAAGCAAGTATCATGGTGCTTGCAAGTGTTAATCATTTCGTAATCTTTGTTCGGTTGCCAATTTAAAATTAAATTATTTTGGTGTTTGCTTAGAGTTCCTGTTTGATGAAAACAAGTTCTATGGAAATGTGTGGGACTGGTTTTTTTATTTTAGATTTTTTGAGACCCTTTGAAATTTTTTTTTCACTTTTGCAACTTTTTTTTAGCTTATCTCTAATTACCGGTTTTCCAAAAAAGGGTATCAATGCAAAGACAGCCTTCTCTCCTGTGTGAAGGCATATTCTCCTAGTCTCAGTATTTTATCCCTCTCTTTACAGCCTTAGAAAGTCTGTTAGTGGATTATTTGACCCATATTTTTGATTTTTTGTTTTCTCGAAAACTACCATCCCAAATCTAAATTTTTGGTTTCACAGAAACGAACAGATTCAAAAAGCCCCTGCATAAGTGGCTATGCCCAATTATTACAAAAGTGGCTGCACCCAGAAAGTTGCGGCCCTCGGAGTAGTCAAATTTTTAATATTTTGAACTTTTTTGAGTTTTTCAAAAACTAGTGTGCAGTATCTGAGTTTTTGGGTTCAATTAAAAGACTGAGTTATGACAAGCTCCTTTGCATATGTGACTACATTCAATTTTTTTTACACCAAAAGTTCTGGCCCTCGGAAAAGCAGATGTTTTGATTTTTTTTAACTGTTTTTCGAATCTTTTCTCGAAAACCAACCTACCAATTCTGAGGTTTTTTGACTGTTTTTGAATTTTTCTCGCTAACTATCCTGCCAAATCTGATTTTTTTTGGAAACCTTTCGGCTCTAAACGAAAAAATTTTTGCCAATTTTCAGGTTGAGTGTTCAATCGAGAAACCTCGTTTTGGGAAGCTTCTCTACTTAAGCGGCTACAATCTGCTTTTTGCAAAAAAGTTACAGATTTCGGAAGATTGTAACCGTTTTTTAAAAACGTTTTTTTTAGAAGCTTCTTGAGTTTTCTTAAAAACTACCCTATTAAATTCAAATGAAAATTTCAATTGAATGAACCGGTTGCGAGAATTGTTCCTGCGGCAACTCATTTTTTGTAAGAGACATGTTATGACCTTAGGAAAGTTCTATTTTCTCAAACATTTTCACTCTTCTCACATAGTTTAGTAGAGAAACAGCTTAAGTTTTGGGCAAGGTCCACTTTTTAAAAACTTAAGATTTGTCCCGCATTAGTAGAATAAATTCAACTCATACAATATCAAACACGTACCTCCAGCTTTGGCTGAGCCACTAATTGTTTTTATCGAGACACGAAAATTTTGGTTTGCCTAGATTTTCCAACATTTCAATTTTTTCATCTTATGTTTTTTTTGTTTGTTGTATCGCAAGTGGTGCGAAGCTCCGCTTCGCCTCTGTATCAACTTTGTGTTTTTTATTCATTTTCAAAGATAACCGTAGTCAATTAATAGCCAATGATAGTTTTCTTTAAGGTCCTCACGCCGCCCCCGCATCGAACACAAAAGAATAGGCCTGAAAAACTAAATATGTTTAATATCCATGTATGAGAGTTCTGTGCTACTTGCACAGCACCCGGCTACTTTTTTGCTTCGGCCTAATTATTTGTCGTGGGTCTGATGCAAGCTATCTCATGTTCATTGCTGGATAGAATTCTGGAATCTTGTAATGGCGGTACTATCTGAGAATATTAGCCAATTTTCAAAGTCACTTTTGTTCGCTATAGGTCTGTGGTTCTAATCCCCGTCGAGCCTTGCTTGCTTCTTTCATAACCTTATCGGTTTAGTTTTTTTTCTGTTTGCATCAAATGCCCAATCTGAGCTAGCCTGAGTTGGATTAGCAAGATTTTATTTTCGTTAGTTCGTTTTTATATTGAGAATGTAAGTTCTTGGTTTATTTATCATACTTTTTTCGGTTTCTTGCATTTTAGCCAATTTTGTGCCCGCCTAGTTGCCTACGTGTTTTTTTTCAGAGGTTGATTAAAAATCAGTTCTGTGGCAAATTACAAATGGCAAATTTAGTAACATGCGCTAGAGGGTGATATTTAGATTGCACATGTATGTTTTTTTATGCGAATGGCAAGCATTTTTTTATGCGTCACCTGTGTTTTAATTCGGTTTGATGCGATGACTCATTCTCATGTATTTTCATTACTATTTCGGAATGTCCTTATTTTTTCCCGTTTTGGAAAGTAGTTGAGCTGTGCGACATAGGAAATTGATTAGTCTATAAGTTTTGATTACGTTCGCTGCTTTGAGATGGTGTTACATGTACGCAGCAGTTACGATTGCTGACGTTTAAATACCATTACGTCTTTCATTTCAATCAGCACGACTCGTTTTGTTCATGCTTTTTGGTGCGTTGGTGGTACTACTTACTTTAGCATTCTGCTTCAACGGGAATTTATGAATGGAAAAGAGATTGCAAATGTTTCCCGTTATGTTTATTCCCTGTATAATACAATTAGATTATTAAATAGAACAGTCTGAAAGCAGAAAAAAGTTGTATATTTTTGCCGTTTTCATTTTTTGTTTTTCATAGCTGAGGAAGTAGTTCAGTTCAAAATTGGAGTTTTTAATTTCATTTCACGTTTTCAGGATAATGTTTCTGCTTGTTTTTTAATCTGTAAAAGCGCTTTGAGTTTTTCTTTTCCATCTCTACTAAGCACACACATTGAAGCTAAGCTACAATTTTCCCATTGGTGTGTTGCCTGACTCAATGCAAGAGCACGTTGGTGTTATTTGCGTTGCGGTGGTGGTTGTGGTATAGTGGTGGCTGTGTTATGTTTTAAAGCTAGAATAGCTTACCATTGTGTCCCGTTTTGTTCGATCAGTTATTTCAGCTACTAACTTTCACTCCTGCAAATTTTGAACACAATCCCACAACTGCTACTATTCCACCAGAAAATAATTTAGTTCTACTTAACTCGACTTATTACACACCCCTCATTTAACAGTCAGAGCCGGTTTGAATGGATTTATTCCCCCATTTTAAAACCAGTTATCTTGATGACCTCGAGGTCAATTTGTTCTCTACTCCCCGTGATCGTGTGACTCCGACATAAGGTGTTTTGTATGTATGGGAACTCCTCGAAATAGTTTCCCGTTTTGTTGTTTAGTCGATGGTGGAAGGACATATTTGAACCCCCTTTGTTAAATGAAGCGAGGCAGCGGCGGTGAGTTTTAGAAATTATGCGCCACTCAAATTTGTTTGATGCGCTGATTTAGTTTTGTTATCAAATATGTGTCGCGGCTCAATTTTGTTAGCTAAATAGTTTTATAACTAAGGGCAAACTGTTAATACAATTTTATAAAGTTAATTGTCATCTCAAAGTTGTCAGCTAAATGATATTTCATTCGTTCATACCTGCTATCATAGAAAGCTCTTCGAGTAAGCGTTTTTCTTGTGCTTTTTCGATCTAAAATCATCAATTGATCACCATCAAAGCTTAAAAATTTGGATTTCCAAATGTTTCAAAAACATTTCAACATGAGATGACCATAATATTGGTAATAATATAATGAACAGCTCGATTATTAGTCCTTCCCATTGGGGCCTGGGATTAGGATGAGTAGTTGCCCATTGTACGAAGTACGCTAAGATCCCTTCTCTAACCTTAAGGGTAACTGAAATAAAAAAAAATGGCCGTCAGGAAAAAAGTTATAGCAAGTAGGTCTTAATCAGGACACATAAAGTCTGCTCTTCATGACAAATGGACAGCTCGTGTACTATTCTTTTCCTCGTGTATTCATGATCTAAACTACTGTTTTCTACATTTTTTGAAGTTGATAATTTTCAGTTGGCTTTGTGGGCTCGGGCGTGCCTGGTGGCTGCCGTCCTAGGAGCTGCCTCCCGGAAAATACTTCAAAGCATCGTGGTAATTTGGCACTAGACTCGAAGGAGCTATTCCAGCTCAACAAACCAACAGGCCAATCCACTTCATCGTCATCGAGTGCAGGAGGAGGAGGAGGAGGGGGTTCTGCTGTATCTACAGCGTCCGCGCCCTTCTCGCAGCCCTGTCTGCCTGTTAAAGACACGGGTCCTACTAGAATTCTACCCTACCTCTACTTGGGGTCATATCAGGTGAGTAATACATCTGTAGATATAATTTATGCGAGCGAAACTCACTGCGAGCAATATAATTTACCTTCGCCTGGTTAAGTCGGTTGTTCGAGGGTTATAATTATCCTTAGTCGAAGGTTACGGAACTTTTATTCGACCCAAAAATTACATAAGAGTTTTTAAACAGGGTTTTTTTCCGGTATATAAATGAATGAGTGTTCCGAAACCAGTTTCCTTCATTCCTCAAAGAAGAATTTGAAAGAGGCCTCTTTTCAAAAAAGATCACTTTGCGTTACACAAAGCTATTAAATGTATTCGCGCGCTTGAAACAAATGAGGGAAATAATAAAAATAATCATAATCATAATAATAATAATAATAATCATAATAATAATAGTAAAGTTGGTTCCTGCGAATCGCAGAGGAACTATCAGTAGGCCTTATAATAAATCATTATGCGGCAAGTAATTTTCATTTTTGACAAGGCGTGGGATTTTATTTTGTCACCCTACCGGGTGTCGGCAAAAGGCGCAGTTATTGGTCCACCTTGAAAAGAGTTAAACATCTTTTCATAGAGAGCAAGTAGTGGTTTGGGGTATGCACTTTTTGTTTATGTTATCAAGGGATCTCTGGGCGTCGTTAATTTTTAAACAATTTTCCACAAAAAATCACGTTCATCAGTTTTATAACTGAGCGTCGGTTTTCGACAGAGAGTCTGAATGAAGACATTTTTAACCAGGAGTCGGGAATAACTACAATAGTTATAATCATAGTAATAATATAAACTTAGCGGCTGACCGCAAGAAGTTTCCCCTAAGTTTGTTAAGTAGTAGTCTGTTAAGTTACATTTAGGCTGAGGTTAATGGGACTTTAGTGGTATGTTAAATTAAGAAAAGAGACATGTTTAACTGTTAAGGAACGTAGTAAAGAGACTGATATTTTCAGGAAAAATTCACGCTCAACTTTCATTTAGTTAGCTGACTTTTGCTTGCTTTTTAAAAATGGATTTAATTTTTTGCCAAAAGGCAGGCGAATTACGCTGTCTAGTAACAAGATTGTCAACAGCGGGAAAAAACGTGAATAATTTCATTTTTCGAAAGGTATTTTGATTTTCAGATTTCCCAGCGCAATGAAAAAACAATAATGCAGTTTCTCAAATTGGGTTGGTAGATAAAAAGTGGGGTCAATCATAGAAGATTCATAAATTTGAAGTTAGATTTTTTCAAGAACTGAAATATATTTTTTTTGGTCTTCTTGATTTCATTGAAATGTTTCGTATTTTCTAACAGAAACTGTCAACTAAACGTCTCTAGAAGTCACATTCTTTTTACCGATCTAGCGCAATAACTCCAGAAGTAATAGCGAGGTTTAGTAATGGTCACGCAAGAGGTTCTTCGCTCGTATTTCGTCTCAGCTCAATGTTGTTCGAAAAAAGTTTTAAATATTGAGTTAATGAATTGTGTATTCTGCGATTCACAGAGGATCTATGAAAGGCTATACTGCCTGTCTAAGCATAGTATGGTTCTGTTATTTCCGCAAAATCGAACCGTTTTCGGAACTGTTCTTCTGATGTTGCTGCAGGACTCACTCAACGAACGGGAGCTGGTCAAACTGGGTATTATCTATGTGCTTAATGTGTCTCGAGGAACCACGAAGCCGCCGTTCGTTGCGGACCAGAACTTCATGCGCATTCCGGTGGACGACAACTACGATGCAGTCATGACTCCTTACTTCGCAGAAGCATTCAAGTTCATAGGTGTGTTGCTAGCAATGCATTCAGTGGTGATAAGATGTTGAATAGAAACATAAGTTGGCTCTTTTCTCCCCCTCCCCCCATATTACCAATTTTTTTAAGTGTCATTAGAGATGGTTAAATGCGTGATGGTACATTGTAAATTATGATGAACAAATTTGTTCACAATAGTTCGTTTGTTCACTATGCTTATTTTTATAGTTTTATGACTACGATAAAATAGTTTTCAAACGTGAAGTTCAAATTGGGGAAGGGAAAATGAGCTCATTTGTTTGACCAATATTTAAAGAGTGGTAAAACAAATTCGGTTCAAAAACTGCTGAAAAACCTTATTTCTTAATTTCAGACCTGGCCAAGTCTTCTGGCAGTGGGAGTGTATTAGTGCACTGTATGGCTGGCATCTCTCGCAGTGCCACTATAGCCATAGCCTACTTCATGAGGGAACACAACTGCACGCATGAAGAGGCCATGAGGTGAGTCATGCATGTCATGGCACTCTTTTGCCGTTCAGAATTTTTTCTGTAATTATACACGGAAGTTTAAATGACCAATATCAAATTGATTCTTCTTGCAGAAACTTTTAAAGTCAATGGTAATAGCGATAAATTGATCAGAATGTCAAGTGTGCGATGGGCTTAAAAAGAGCCTTAGATGATTACATTTTAATTGAGAGAGTGCCATTATTACACCTATCTTGAATCATAAATTTTGTTTCGTATCTTTCAATCTTATTTGGTAATCCAAAAAAGTAATTTTACTTGGAGTTTTGTTTTGTTTAGCTCGAGAATTATTTGCTCAATTTGAGACAGCGGAAACTTTGAGCAGCATACATAAAATTGTAGTCTTTAGCTGGGTCTGGAAGTGATTTTTTCAAAAGTAGATTAAGGTGGTCTGGATTGAAGATTGCTATAGAATTTTCGAAATCTGTCCGTAACTCAATGCATTGCTCTGAATTCTTATTTTTTGTAAAGGTTTGTGAAGGAGCGTCGGCCTTCAATAGCTCCTAACTTCAACTTCCTCGGCCAGCTGTTGGAGTTGGAAAAGAGTATGAAGAGCGAGCGGATGTTGCGGTACCACCAGAGCTACTCGTTCGGACAGAGTTTCAGGACCTCAAGTGAAAGCCACATCAGTCATGCTGTGAATAAGAATCAAAACGTTCGGAACCCATCGTCGTCAGATACAGATAACGGAGGCGAACAAATTATCGTAGCCACCTCAAGTAAGAGTGAAGTCGTGTTTAGTTTCCTATCAGTTCAATGATGAAAGTCAAAGTTCCGTTGCTAATATGTTTGGGTTTAGAAACCAAGAAACGATTGAAAAACGATCTTTTAACTTAGCTTAAAAATGAGAAAGAATTAAACAGATATTAGTTTTAATACCTTATATTTGAGCAGGTTGGTCACTAAGTGTAGCAATGGACGAGCCCAAAGCCCCCAAGAGGTCCAGAACGGATACGATGACATCAACCAGCAAAGCCAGACCCACTGGCTTGAACCTTAGCTCTAACAGAGGCAACAAGACCAGTAAGTTTCATTCTTCTTCTTATAAGCTGCATAGTTTTGAATGCGAGAACTTGTAACATCAACAGTGATGCTTGTGCTTTTAATGAGGGCTAGCCTTAAAAGGCATTTTGATTTCAGCAAAAGAACTGGACATAGAAGCCTTAGTTCAAAGTTCACTCCACGTTAAAACCCCAGAAGCGGCCCAAAGAGAAAACCTCCATTTGGGCATGACATCATCTGGAGGAGTGGAATTTTCGCTTCACAGTCCAGTGTGTGAGAGCTCATCGATAGATTCGCATCCTGGCACACCTGGAAGCTCTAATAAATCCAGTACCCATGTTGCCAGTCCAATGGAAGATGACTCCGTATTCAAAATGCCTCTTCCTCTCTTACCCAGTCCACTATCCGACCAGGAATCGACCCCAAGTAGATACCAAATACCAAAACACTTGACACCAACAACCAGTAGTAAGACTCTTTCCCCAAAATTATCCAAGAAATCAGTTACGATTCCCCTATTTTCAACATCAACTGGAGCGATATCCAAACATCACGTAACCAAGACTCAAAGACGCAGTCATGGACCCTTAGAAGCACCCTCTGATCTAAAAGGTCTCTTTACTTCGGAGTCAAGACTTTTTCACGCGTTCTACTCCAAACCTCTATCGCCGGTCGAAGACTGTTCTCCGGAAAATGCCGCGGCAGCTAGTTTAAGTCCAGCGACAGTTGGCATGGCATCATCGCATCTTTCGACATCCTTAGATCCATCAGCTGGTGTCTTGTCTGATTCAAGTAGTACGACAACGTCCAGTGGAACAGGTCCGAAGACGGACTCTTCTGCAGTTCGAATGAAGCCAATAACGCGACATTCTCGCCATTTTCCGAAAACAAAGTTGATGCTATCAGAAAAACTAAAGGTTATGGTAAAGAAGCAGAACTATAAGTCAAGAGTACCCCACGTTTGGATGTCGGAGGGCAATATTAAACCGGACGATGAGAAAAACAGAACGTTCGAGGTAACCCCGGTAGCGCCTCGACTGTCGCGTCAGAGGCCAAGCTCGTTCTGTCTTCCGGCGGAGTACTTAGACCATTGGGAGGAACTGCTGGCAGCCGCTAGACTGTCGTCGAGGTGAGCTTTGATTCAATTTATAGATCGCATAATGTAAATTTGCTGGCGAAATTTTCTAAAAGATTAAAATAAGATGGTGCCAAGCAGTTCCTAAGCAGTAAGAAGAGATGTTTTGATGACCCTGTATAGCTGTAAATGATAATCGAAATCATTTTAAGGACCAAAGTTTGTTCTGGTGTCCTTGTTATTGTTAGAGGACTTTTGACGGTTCGGAAAATTATGTTGGCTGCAGTGTCAAGTTGCGTTTAGATCAATTTCAAGTTGTTTTAGATCGATGTCATGCAACATGTTAGAAGTGCGAAGCCGCCCTTTTACGGGCAATGAGCTATTCAACACTTCATCATCGAGCAGCTACGAGTCGCTCTCTCGACACAGCAGTCTGGAGGCTGTAGAAGTAGGATCTTGAATCTATTCTACTCGACCATGTGGTATAATCAAGAGAAGACACCCCCTTACTTACCTTACCTTTCTAATTGGTTTGAGTATAAAAAGCATCATATTCAGACGTGAGATCTGTGCAAAAAAGATGCGGCATTATTACGTTGGTCAATATACCTACAATCGGAAATTGTATCGATAATGAAGGAAATAATCTCATTTTATGAGTTCGCATTTCCGAGGAAAAAGAAGAGCAAAATTCCAGATAATCATACGCCTTGAAGACGTCTCAGGGAAAAGATATATCACAAACATTAGTGAAAAATAAAAACATTTATTAATTATTGAGTCGGATTGCAAATTTTAACATCTAATGATTGATAGATTTACCAGAAAAAACTAGAAAAGTCTAATTTCTTATTCTAATAATATCGCTGTTATGAAAGCTTATTTCTTTTTGTTTTACTCTTATACTTTACGTGATGATCTGATTTTTTTGATTGTCTTCTATGTAGTATTGGTGCTATTTAATTTGCTTTCGTATCGGCAAACCCCTCGATGTTTCACTAATCAATATTCAACTAGAAATTTCATAATGCAAATATTCTTAATTCAAAATGTATTTTTAATTTCTGTAACTACAGAAAAACTGATAATTGAAAAATTCTTTTTCTGCAAAGCTATTTTTTATCGACCATCTTCTAAGATGAAGTAAATATTCGTTTAGGATTTGGATTTTCTCAATTTAGATACTAGAAAACTAAGTGTGGTAGTGTATTGATTCGTTCATTGGCGTTCTTAAAACTCTACAGAACACCTTTGGTATGCAGTCTTAAGTAGTTAAATAATTTAGTTAATATATGCAATCTTTTCAAAATTGTTGGTTGAAAAGTCGATGTACGTGGTACATGAAATCTACCGAGCGGCTCAAGGTAGCTTCAAGCTTCAAGCTTCTATCGTGAAGATTTCGAGTTAACGCGCTGGTTACTATTTGAGAAATTTTTTAACCCAATAAATCTCGCAATTTTTGAAATGCACAATTTATAGATGTGGCTTTATCCTTTCCGATTTATTACGTGAAAAATGAGTATGGATGCTTTCTGTTTCTTATATTCCAAATTATTACTTGCAGAATTGTGTCTATTTGTATTTGGTGCGACTTTTGCTGCATGGCCTTGGCATTTTGTTAGCATATGTAACTTCGTTATTTGTGACAAAAGTTTGCCGGTTGTTCAGCGTTCGTGGCCGAGAAGGCAGGGCGTGAGACTCAACTCTCGAGGTCGCAGGGTTCTGGTGTTCTCGCTCGTGTTTGTGAAGCGCAGCTTCACCTCTGTAAAAAAAATTATCAACCAAGTGATTAATCACTTGCTTGGTTTTTTTTTCAGGGAAATTTGTTCATGCTAAAATTTGATTTTTCGTGGTTTGACTTTTGATTCTTTTTTTTCAGATGATTGCGTTTGTTAAACCAAAATTTTAATTTCACAAAATGTTAAGTTTCAGTTTTCTATCTGCAATTCTTTTTCTGCAAAGCTATTTTTTATCGACCATCTTCTAAGATGAAGTAAATATTCGTTTAGGATTTGGATTTTCTCAATTTAGATACTAGAAAACTAAGTGTGGTAGTGTATTGATTCGTTCATTGGCGTTCTTAAAACTCTACAGAACACCTTTGGTATGCAGTCTTAAGTAGTTAAATAATTTAGTTAATATATGCAATCTTTTCAAAATTGTTGGTTGAAAAGTCGATGTACGTGGTACATGAAATCTACCGAGCGGCTCAAGGTAGCTTCAAGCTTCTATCGTGAAGATTTCGAGTTAACGCGCTGGTTACTATTTGAGAAATTTTTTAACCCAATAAATCTCGCAATTTTTGAAATGCACAATTTATAGATGTGGCTTTATCCTTTCCGATTTATTACGTGAAAAATGAGTATGGATGCTTTTTGTTTCTTATATTCCAAATTATTACTTGCAGAATTGTGTCTATTTGTATTTGGTGCGACTTTTGCTGCATGGCCTTGGCATTTTGTTAGCATATGTAACTTCGTTATTTGTGACAAAAGTTTGCCGGTTGTTCAGCGTTCGTGGCCGAGAAGGCAGGGCGTGAGACTCAACTCTCGAGGTCGCAGGGTTCTGGTGTTCTCGCTCGTGTTTGTGAAGCGCAGCTTCACCTCTGTAAAAAAAATTATCAACCAAGTGATTAATCACTTGCTTGGTTTTTTTTTCAGGGAAATTTGTTCATGCTAAAATTTGATTTTTCGTGGTTTGACTTTTGATTCTTTTTTTTCAGATGATTGCGTTTGTTAAACCAAAATTTTAATTTCACAAAATGTTAAGTTTCAGTTTTCTATCTGCAATTCTTTTTCTGCAAAGCTATTTTTTATCGACCATCTTCTAAGATGAAGTAAATATTCGTTTAGGATTTGGATTTTCTCAATTTAGATACTAGAAAACTAAGTGTGGTAGTGTATTGATTCGTTCATTGGCGTTCTTAAAACTCTACAGAACACCTTTGGTATGCAGTCTTAAGTAGTTAAATAATTTAGTTAATATATGCAATCTTTTCAAAATTGTTGGTTGAAAAGTCGATGTACGTGGTACATGAAATCTACCGAGCGGCTCAAGGTAGCTTCAAGCTTCTATCGTGAAGATTTCGAGTTAACGCGCTGGTTACTATTTGAGAAATTTTTTAACCCAATAAATCTCGCAATTTTTGAAATGCACAATTTATAGATGTGGCTTTATCCTTTCCGATTTATTACGTGAAAAATGAGTATGGATGCTTTCTGTTTCTTATATTCCAAATTATTACTTGCAGAATTGTGTCTATTTGTATTTGGTGCGACTTTTGCTGCATGGCCTTGGCATTTTGTTAGCATATGTAACTTCGTTATTTGTGACAAAAGTTTGCCGGTTGTTCAGCGTTCGTGGCCGAGAAGGCAGGGCGTGAGACTCAACTCTCGAGGTCGCAGGGTTCTGGTGTTCTCGCTCGTGTTTGTGAAGCGCAGCTTCACCTCTGTAAAAAAAATTATCAACCAAGTGATTAATCACTTGCTTGGTTTTTTTTTCAGGGAAATTTGTTCATGCTAAAATTTGATTTTTCGTGGTTTGACTTTTGATTCTTTTTTTTCAGATGATTGCGTTTGTTAAACCAAAATTTTAATTTCACAAAATGTTAAGTTTCAGTTTCGAAAGTGAATTTAAATTTATAGCTTAACCAGTGGAATAAAAAATTGCCTATTGGTCCAGTTTCCTCAAATATAGTAAGGTGTATCAAAAAAGTGTTTATATAGTGTGTGTGAGAGAAAGGAGGCATATTTATTATGTAATTAAATGCGTATTTAATGTGTAATTAAATGCGGCATCACTCTTTCGCCATGTTAAAGCTTTTTCAACGTATTATTTTTGCATGCTTAACAAAAGATTTTTTTCACGTTTAAGCTGTATCGTATTTTGCAATGATTGAAAATATTTCTCTTCAATTTTTCAGAGTAATGAACTTAGTGAAGACTCTTATATAGGTCTTGTTAGTTTTTTTTGTTTTCAGGAAAAAGTTCAAAATGTGCATGAAAGTCTCTAATCACTACAGAAGTGCATTCATACAAATTGATGCGTTTTTGAATGTACCTAGTTATATGGGCATTTTTTGATTTCCAATGAATTTCATCTGCTGAAAGTGACTTAACAACAGCACTCCGCAAATACGAACGTAGAAATGTCAGGAAAAAATGTGAACGATTCCTAGTTTCGAAATAGGAGTTTAATTTTTAGATTTCCAGCGGAATAAAGAGTTTAACTGTTGATCCAGTTTTCTCAAGTTAACTAAGTCTTTTCAAAAAAGTGCCAATCATAAATCGTTCTATAATTTCAAAGAGCTTAAAGGGCATCTTTTTTTTCTTTGAAATTCGAAACTTGAGATTTTTTAACAAAGTGAGTGTTTTTCTGTTTATTTGCGTTCATTACCTTTTTCCAATCTTCATTTGGCTATCTTTTTGTTTGAAATCAAGGTTTATTTCTCCAAACTTAAAATTAGCAACCATTAGTTGGATGTTGTCTGGATTACCCCTCTGGTTGAAAATTTTGACTCCAATTATGAATACCCAAAACCTGTTAGTTTATGATATACGACGAGTTTCGTAATTTTTTCAAAAGTTTTTACACAAGCAATGCTTGTGTTATAGTATGAATTATCTTTTTTTCCAATATAATTTTTTCTCCAATCTAAAAGGAGATTTAATCCGTCGTAGAAATTGTTCCAAACTGATTGAAGGAAGCTTATTTGCCATAATTGATTTGTTACTGTGAGCGAAATGTATGACTTTGATTTTAATATGGCGTGTGGGGGGATGTTTTTTTTCAAAAAATCTCAAATTAAAAAAAAATGCATTTAATTTTCATTACATTTGGTGTTAAGGCATGTTAAGTTGGTAAGTTTTTTTTCAAATTGTTTGGTACTGCTAATGCGTCATAATTGGCGTGCGTCAGTTAGAAAATTTTGAAGTTCAAAGTTTTACTCATTCAGTTTTTCCCAGTAACGTTATCGGTCTGATTTTTGCTTGTGTATGCGAAGTGCAACTTCCCTCTGTGTCAAAAGATTTAAGTTTTAAAATCCCAGTTTTGCAGCTGGGTTTTGTCAGGGTACTCTCAGGTTTGCAAAGTTTACCTCCAAATAAGACTTCAATTATTTTTACTTTTAATTACTTTTTACAATTACTTTTAAATTTTTCAGAAAACGTAGATTTAATTAACTTGACAAAAACTCAAATTCCCAACCCTGTAGTTGTGTCCTGCGAGAGTACTCTCTAGGGTTCTAAATTTTGCATCCGAATGGGACTGCTCAAATGCTTTAAGTTTCCGAGATGTGACTTTTTTTTTTTCAAAAATTTTCAAAGAACTTTTTTATGAAAAACTTCACAAAATTTGAAATTACCAACCTTTAGTGAGACGATATTATTTTCTGGGTACTCTCAGGCATTGTGGAATTTGCCGCCAAATTTGAATGCAAATTTTTTTGAGTTTTTGAGATATGACGATTCCGATGATTTTTTCGAATTTTTTGTGAAGTTTTAAATAAGTAACGAAATTTGAAATTTCCAACCCTGTAGTTGGGTGCTGTCAAAATAGTTTCAGGGGTAATAAAATAATAGTGTGAAATTGTTTTAGTTTCTAAGTTTTTAATGTTTTCTCAATGTTTTTCGTATAACTTGAATAAAAAATTAATAAATTTTGAAATTCTCAACGAGGTTTGTGCTCTCAGGTTACTCTCAGTTGTTGCAAGTCTTGCCTCCAAATCTCCTTAAAGGCCCTTCAGAGTTCCGATATCTGACGTTTTAATGGTTTTTCGAAATATGAATTTAAAACAACATAACGAAATTTGAATTTAGCAAATCTGTTATTGGGTGCTGCCACAGCATACTCAGAGGTTGCAGATCTTGTTTCCAATATATGCCGCTTTTTAACTTGTCAAAATATTCTTAGCACCGGAAGTGCTTGCCACTAATTTTACTGAAGAAAATTATGTAACCATATCAAATCGCGAAAAGCAGCCCATCGCATCTCAGATCAGTTTTGAAATTGATAATGTTTATCCAACCAAAAAGTAGCCACTGCTGACAAGATTAATTAGGTTTATAATGAAAAACTTAACTTTTGTGGTAATTGAAAATATAACATGGGGAATTTGTTAAGAAAAGTTAGTTGCTAACCATGGGCGCAATATCAGGGCTACGAACATTTTTCTTATAATGATTTTTATCAAAAATTAAAAATTTTTGTCGTTAAATTTTTTTCGTGTTTGGTAGGAGTCTCAGTTTTTCGTTCACGAGATTTATTACACTGGCGAGAGCAAGTGTCTTGTAACCGGGAACTTGACTTTTTTCCCATCAACAAATTTTCTGACAAATCTTCTCTTCTTTATTTTCGAGAAGTAACGTGGTCGAGAGGTAACAGATAACTCGGCCGAGAGAGAGGTAACGCCATCGTTGTTGCATCCTAAGGTCTGTGGTTCGAGTCTCGTACGGACCTCGTGTTTTCTGTTCAATAAGAATTGTCGGACTTTCTTTTGTTTGTCTGCTCAAGTTTTATCGGCTTAGTTGCTAGATCTCGGATTAGTCTTGAGCTGCGAGCAAGTATCATGCGGTAGTCGCAAGTGTTGCTCATTCTGGTTTCATAGGAGAGTTGAAACATTTTGAATTTTTTATACAACGTTTTTTTCGGCTTAACTGATGTCTGCTCAGCTTGTCGGTTCAGTTGCCCTTCACGGATTTTTTGTGATGTAAGGAGTTTTTTGTGTAGTTCCAAGTACAAGTGTTGATCATTGTTGTTTCAGGTCAGACTTAAAACTTCAAAGGTTTAATTTAAAAAAAAAATTGTTTTTCGGCTCAACTGAAGTCTGCTCAAAGATGGTCGCTTAGTTGCCACATAAAGGATTTCTTTTGTGCTGCAAGCAACTACTTGTTGTTGAAAATGCAAGTGCTATTCACTGTATTTTCAGTTGAGACTTTTTCAAGTTTTTTCGGCTCAATTTGTGTCTGCTCAAAAATAGTCGGCTTACTTTCATCTTCTTAAGCTTTGTTACGTTGCTAATTTAATATTCAAATGTCTAGCATATTTGCCTAGAATGAACTTCTATCGAGACTATCGAAAATTTTAATTTTGGTAGACCTAGTTTTTTCAATTTTTTTTTCGCTTTGTTTTTTATCTTTGCAATGTAACGCAAGTGATGCGAAGCTCCGCTTCGTCTCTGTATTTAATTGTTTTTACTTCTCATTTTTCATTTTTTTCAATCGCCCTTTTTATGCTTGCGATTAAAAAGCATAATCAAGTCAGAAATCTGAATCCCAGTTTCTTAAAAATTTAATTTTGACTACTGACTACGGATACCAACAACTGGTAAATATTACACCTTAGATTCTAACCATTGTATGTTAATTATTACCCTTGAGATAAACAGGGATATTGCAATCTGGTATAGACTGTTTTTCCCGAAAATAATCACAGAGTGGTAATTTTAGTAGGAATGGTAAATATCATTTCTGACATGCCAATCCCTTTAAAATTCAAATATAACTACCATCATTTAAGTAGCGATTAGGTACAGTCCGTTTCAGGTAGGTTTTTTTTCGAAAGTTGGCTGGCTGTCTAAGGCATGGTTTTGCTCAATTTAAAAGTTTTTTTAATATAACTGATAGTTCAGTAATTTGTAATTTTACCAAGTCTGATTTTAGGTTATTTTTTCGTTTCTCTTATGTTTAAACAGTTTCAGTTTGTTTTATCTGCTAAGTGAACTTATTTTTCGTACTTTCGAGGGCTCGTATATCCGCATTCGATTATGTGTTTCAGAGTGGATGGGTCGTAAAAACTTTTAAAACTTTACGACATTTTTATGACAACAATTTTGTTTTCGGCTCAACAGGTTTGGACCCAAAATTTGTTGCCACTCGGTAAATGAATTCCATTTTTTAAGGTTGTTTATGATTTTCATCCTATACTACCATGAAGTTTTTGTAGCTGCATTTTGTCAACTTCCGTTCGCTATCTTGTAGTGCAATAATTTTTTTTGCATCGCAAGTTTTGCGAAACTCTGCTTCGCCTCTGTGTTACGCTTGCGATCAGTAAGCTTTATCCAATCGAGTTAAAGACTTTTACGTGGTTAACAACTAGTTAAACAAAGTCAGTTGAATCAGTGAGTATGGCTGTTCTGATAGTCAGAGAACTGAATGTCTAGAAACAGATACTATTAGAGCATGTCTGCATTTTAAATGGCCGTTCAATGCATTGTCTGCATTTGTCTGCTTTTATAATTGACATGCTATTGGAACTGGCGCAATCTAGTATCTCGTGTGCAGCTCTCTGGTCCCGCTTTTAGTGGTTTAAAAATGGTTCTCAAAAACATTCTTGGGGCAAAGTTTCTAATGTTTTTTAGGTTTGAGTGTCATCCATCATTGAGCAAATAGCTATTTCTTTACACTAGAAACTGATTGAAAAGTGTTAACATTTGAGCAGTGACTTGATTTGAGCAGTCAACCGCATATAAAATTTTGGGCCCATGTGAACAATCTCCCCTCTAAAATTAAATGGCAAATTCAATCCGGAAGGTCTGCATGTACTATGCTCAAATCTGATTGGCTGAAAACTATTGCTCTTAACACCAAATGAACCAAATGAATTGATTTAGGGGGAGATTCTTGACTTGGTCCAAAATTTATATTGGGTTTTCTGAAGAATCACAGAATATAAGTAATGCGGCTCTTTTTCCTTTTCCCCCCACCTGCAAATTTTTTAGAGTAATTTTTCTGTTCACATTTTCGGATTGTTATCAAATTTGGCATACGCACTATTTAGGCCCTGACAAACATATTTAGTCTTCATACTCAACCTTGTAAAACCACTCGTTACACCATGAAATCTATACTTACGTGAGGTGGGGGGGGGGGGGGGGGAGGAAAAAGAGCCAGTAACGCTTGGTTACATGGCTCCTTCGAAGGAAGTCTGAATAAAAATAACGATGCCAAATAGGGGCTGGTGTGTACATGTGCATGGTTCGGTAATATTTGTTTTAATTGGAGTTAATTTAAAATCACGTATCGGTGAACCATGGTTATAGATATGATATGTAAATGAAACTTATCTGAGCTCTCTCGTCAATCAAAGCTATGCAAACTTAGCTACAAATTCCGTCAAACAACTTCTATTATCACCTATCTATTACCAGTATTTTATATAGTGGTTAGTCTTAAATATTACTCTAAGACAAAGAAGATGACCTCGAAATTACAGCCATCGTTTCTTGGCTTCGATTTCAGCACTCAGCAGATTAAATGTATTTGCACCGATGATCAGCTCAGATATTTGGCGTCGTATCATGTGACCTTTGATTCAGGTATGCTCTGTTATAAATGTGGAAGCAACCTCATATTTTGATGTTGGTTTTTAAAAAAATGCAAATAACTTCAAAGATCAAAGCACATGCATTTTGATGCAGTGACAAGCATGCTTGCACAACAATCAGGTGTATTTTATTTGAACTCGCACGTGCTACGTGTTTTGCAAGGTGAGAGCCATAGCTTAGTTTGGTTTAAGTTAATAACATTTGGGTTAGACGTCTGGTTGTTCCGACTATTGAAAATGGGGAGGAACTTGTATTCGGGTGTTTTTGTTTGTTTCCGCGCAAAATCAGGTATCACAAATAATCATCGGACTGGGTTGAGTGATATATCATATTAAGGCCCTTTCAGTCGGAATTTGAACCCAATTTAAAATTCACCAATTTTCTCTAGTGTCAAGAATAACCGGTCCAAAATTTTTGATTTTTCGTCTAATTTAGAGCGACGAAAGCCAGCGAGCAGGCTTAATTATGCTCAATTTAGGCCTTTTACAATTACTTAATTATGCTTAACTTTTATTTTTCTCGGGTAAAATTATTTTTTGGAGATGTTTAATACCATTTTTGTAATCAAAAACTCAAAAAGTTTCTGCAAAAAAAACGATAAAGAATTTTTTTTCCTAGTCATTTTTCTTCAAAAACTGATGTCCGGTTTGCCTATAGTACTATGACTGTCGAATATGCCTAAATTATAGTTTTATGTCAGATCCTTTTATCACACCACGCAGAAAAAATTTTTTTATTGTAGATTTTTAAAGACCATGGTCGGAACATTCTTTGCTACTTGTTTAATTGTTTCATCACTTTAAACGCTTTCTACTTGGACCGAGAAAATTTAACTGATCTTAAAGCATGATTCTTAGAATTTGCACCCTGTCCCATTGTTTTCGGCAACTCTTCTTCCATTTTTATTTATCTATTTATTTATTTAAAATTTTTTGTTCGAACTTTTCAAACTGATTTTACGATGGTTAAAAATATCTTCAAGACATTGTGGATCTTTTCAACTCTCAAAATAATTTTTTCCATTCATCGTCACCCAATGGTGGATCTCCTAATTTGGAATGTCCCATGGTTTAGGTAAATAGGCGGTTCTTACCGAATCGAAGTAAATGACGGCAACAATTATGTTTTTTTTTCAATGCTAACAAGTGATGTACAGACACGATTTGTAAGATGCATTAACATTGTATTACTAAAAAATGTACCCTCTTTTTTTCTCAGAAATTTTGACTACTCTCGATTCCATCATTGATATAAACTTTTTGATCTCATCAGGTCCAAAACTCAAACACGCAGCCTGGATAGCATCCCAGAGTTCCTCTGTTGACCGGTACTGCTGGTTGTCTGGCTTCTAGTTTTGGTTTCATCATCGACCAGATGTTCTTTATCGAAGACGCATAGCATAGGGCCATACCAAAAGTCGGGATTCAAACGGGCCGACACACAGACGAACTCGTCTCATGTAACGGGGGCATTGTCTTGCATAATTATCAGTCCCTTTTTCTCATTAAGCGGCAGGCAGTGAAACCATGGTTGAAAATTAGCTCTGAAAAACTCAGCATAATTAAGCGTGTTCATCTTCACTCCACCCTTAACACGAAAAGGCTCTTTAATTGTTTTGTCATGAATACCAGCCCAGAACATTACTCTCCCACCGCCTTGCTGCCGCTTCTTATGGACTGGGCTAGCTGTGCCGCTCGCTAGCCACCCTCTTGAATAAGCGTCTGTTCCGTCCAATGTATCTCGATACTCATCTGTATAAATGACACGGCAGACGTCAGTTTTCAGGTTGTTTCTCGCCCATTCCTGTCTTTTCACTTGGTGTATTTTGCGGATGTGTGGTCGTTTCTATGTTAGTGGAAATTTCCAAGGGGCGCTTGTCAGGTGAACTAATCGGCAGGTTACGTAAACCTTTCTTGTAACTCATTTAAGCTCGCCTAGTTGTCAATTCGTGCGAATTTTCTGGCTGTTTTTGGTGAATTTCCTTACAGCTCTGGCATCACGGTTCAAAGCTTTTGCAATTTTCGAAATAGACTTCCCATTGCCCTGAACTGCTATGATATTGTTTTTTTCTTCCTGTGTCTAATCTCATTTTTGGCCCATGTCGATAATTAAAAGCATCAGAAACAAAAATATTGCATAATAAACAGTAATCCGAAGACAATGAGACATTTGGAAATTACGAATTTACTTTTAGAATGAACAAAATTTAGCAGATATTTTTTTGCTTAAAAAAGTTCACGTGGAGCTCACACGTTATGCACGATCATTCGAAACAGCAAATTGTGCAGCTTCAGGGTGGATTTTGTATTTAACATTAAATGCCTAAACCAATGGAACGGAGAGTAATTGAAATGTGAAAATAAGCAATTTTTTTAATCGTACTTCAAAAATGAGGTCATCAAGCTTCTGATATATTAAATTACCAACGATAATCATGAATATGCGATTGGCTAAATTATTTCTAAAATAGTAGTTTACATTGAGTACAGATTGTTCCGAGCATGGCACAGAAGGAGGAGTTAAAGTGAGTGTGGATGAGAGATCCGGGAGGAGTAGAGTGAGTTCCCCTGTGATGATGTGGCTACAGGCACTGGACTTGCTGTTTAGCCGGATCCAGGAAAAAGTGGATTTCTCTCAAGTGAGTTCTTTTGAAACAACCTTCGATTCCGATGTTTGCGTCGAGTTTCTTCAGAATTTCATCTGACGTACAAACACAATAAGGCCGTAATTTGAAGTTTCATCTTGTGTCAAATTCATTGACTACAGGAATAGCCGGATTTTGGGCAAGTCCCTTAAATCCAAACAATTGCTGATAGCATTGCTAGTAGTTCAATAAAAATTAAGGTCGTTGTAATTGTTCGTTATCTTTTTTTATCGAGCTAGGAAATAAAACTTATCGCCGAAATCTTGTTTATAACGTTTTGTCTTTTTTCTGTCCTTTGGTTCATTAGTGTTTTGTTAACGAACGAAAAAGTTTTTAAAAAATCAATAAAATTTTTCAAGCACTGCGATAAAATTTCGAAAATTTTTATTCTTTCAAACTGTTTATTGAAGAAATACGAGCCTATCTAGTTGTCATTCGTGGATACATTTTTTCATAAAAAAGAATTTTTTCGGTTATCCTTGTTATTGATGTCGATACCTTTGAAACACTAACTCAGTAATAGCCGGATGCCCCATTGCCAACCAGTATTAAAAATTTATAGGTCCAGGGACTGTCTGGATGTGGTCAGATGCACGGAACAGTTTACTGGAATCGATCTAGTAACGAGACATTGAAGCACCTGGAGCCAGAAAAACCACTGGCGCCTCAGCTGGAAAACTGTTTCGTCCTCAAAAACAGTCCCGTTTGGGTAGATTCAAGCACTACACGTAATTATAGTTAAAGTTCCAACGTTTCTAACTGCACGAAAATTGATGTAAATTTGAAGTTGAACCAGTACAAAACGTTGAAAGAAAACGAGGTAGAATTGTTCATGTTTTTTCCAAGTTGAACATACAAGTCGGGTAGTAATGTTCTATTTGAAAAAAAAAATCATTTAAAAACCAATAATGAAGGTTTGTATGGTTGATCAATTCAATTTCTCATCTCTAAACGTGTCTTCAGTTGAGTGTGGTGAAATGGAGTTAGCTGTGGGAGGAGAGGATTGTATGGCCCAATTGACTGGATCCAAGGCCTACGAGAGGTTCTGTGGTCCTCAGATCAAATACATGCATAAATACTACCCTGAGGTGTACGAAGACACCCAAAGGTAAGCTAAATAATTTTCAGACGTGTTCAAAGATAGATTATGTTAACTTTTTATGATAGGTTTCCCCCTAAATTTATTCAGGGTTGAAAATTACAGCAGTTTTTTTTTCGAGTAATGAGGAACGTTAGTCGTTTCAAATTTTCTGGGCTTGGCTAAAGGGTTATCTAACTCTTCTTTGTAACAGCCAAAAATTTGTCTGAAAACCTTTTTAATGAATGTTGAATATTTTTCAATGAATGTTGGATAGTTTTATTATGTTTCAGAATCAGCATAGTGTCTAGTTTTGCATGCAGTCTCTTTCTGGGTCAGATTGGGCCAATTGATTACGGAGACGGATCCGGCACAAATCTAATGCACATAAGGGAAGTATCATTTCGTGGGATAAATTTAAAAGAGGAAAATCATTGAAAAAGTTATTGAGTTTTTACCGAGTTATCATAGCAATCTTTATTCGCTATTGCAGATATGCATGAAAAAAATGTGAAATTTAAATTACTGAGCAAATTAGTTTTGTTTGTTCTTTTTTCTGCCCCTCCCATTTTCTGTTCACGATTGTTACAAAAATTGGCATGCGGACTAATTAGAGCATGACAAATGTCAAACGTATTTGGTCTTCATACTGAACCTACCTTGTTACACAAAAAATTCGTGCTGATGTGGGGGGGACTGTTTTTTTCTCGCTTGCTCGATTCAGGTTCTCAACATCCATTTATGCTAGCGAGCAGTTGAGATCTATAGTAGCGTTTCTTAACAGCAGCTGGCCATTGTTTATAAGCAAGGTTTTAAAACTGAGAAAAGCAGGGTCACATCAAGTCAAATAAAGGAAGGTGTGCTCCAGGAATTTTTGCTGGGATGAGACTCTGTTGGATGCATGTGCTCCTGGACTGAGGGGGAAACTGGGTCCCCTAGTAGCTCCATATGAAAGAGTTGGAAGCATATCGACATATTGGAGCAAAAGGTATGTGTACATTTTAGATCCAAATGGTTCATATTTTTTTGTTTTCACCTGGATAATTAATCATAATCTTACCGGTTTATTTATTCAGTTTGAAAAAACAAGAAATATGATCCTTTTTGTCACTTTTTTCCACTACTTTCGCTCCAGACACTACTGGTAATCCAAAAGTGAACGGAAACTGATGGGAAAATGATATTATAGTTGAAAATGATATCATTGTATACATTATCAAAGTTTTCGAGAGCTTCAAAAAGCCTCAATTTTTCAAAAAGTTCTTTTTTGAGCATGCGTCCTATCTTCGTGATGTAAGAAGTTTTTAAGAAAAAATGAAAAAGAAAAGCGTTGAAAAAATGAAAACTAAACCAGGGAATTATTTTAGATTCGGTTTTCCGCCAAATTGCGCAGTAGCTGCTTTCACTGGCGACAACTGCGCGTCTGTCGAGGGTCTCAGAGCTCAAAACGGGGACATTGCGGTCAGTTGCGGGACGAGCGACAACTTAATCCTCCTAGGAAAGGATTTAAAACCTAATATATACGGACACCTTTTCGTCTCTTCTATTGAATCCGCGCCTTATTTCATCAATTTGTGCTACAAAAACGGATCTCTAGCTAGAGAAGAACTTTCTAGAATGTTCTGTGACGCAGATTGGAACAAGTTTGAAGCGACTTTGAGTTCAACACCTGTTGGAAACGACGGTTACGTTGGCTTGTTTTATTTCAAACCGGAACACATACCTCAAAACGGACTCGGCGTGTATTTGTTTGATCCGAACAATCAGAAAATTGAAAATTCAAGTCCGGAACGCAAAGTTCGGGCATTAGTTGAAGGTCAATTTTTAATGAAGAGAGTCCATTTAGAACGCTTGGGAGGGTTTTCAAATGTGAATCGGAAGCCAAGAATTCTGATAACTGGAGGTGCCTCAAGAAACAAATCTATCTGCGAGATCATCGCTAATGTCTACGGCGGAGATGTTTACTATTCAGGTAAGTAATTGTGCAGACATGTATAAATTTTTTGAACTTGGTTTTTTTAATCAAGTTTATTGGTGCTCATCGAAAAGGAATTGTCATGTTTATCAAACCTGAGGTTTTAGTTGCTAGAATAAAATTTGATCATTCAATTTATGTATTGTACGTGTTCGATTGTTTGACCTTCACCTGGGATCTTGTTACCCCCTTTGTAAAAAAAAATTGCGACACTTTGAAGGATGTATTCAATTATTCAGCATTTGCTAGTTTTGTACCTTGTAACGATTTTCCTCCCGCCTTTTGCAATTAATTGAACAGTTTAAAATGTATTTTCACCTGTTCTAGACAGCCAAGATGCAGCTGCATTGGGCAATGCATATCGAGCAAAGTTTTGTCTAAATTCAGAGAACCAATACGTCTCAATGTTTGACTCCGAACCGAGCAACCAACTTCGCCTCGTGGCTAAATGTGACCAAAAGGCAACTGAAATCTATAACTCAATGGTTGTTAGATTTGCTGATATTGAGAAACAATTATTTGGAGAAAAAATTTAACAGATCTATTTTACTGCTTTGACTGTTCTACAACTTAGCTAGTAGGGACATTGATGTTCTAATGGGTGCAGAGGCGGATATAGTGGAGTAGTGGAGGGGGGCGGGTTCCCCTCAGGGATTGGACCCTCTCACCAACCAATTAGTCCATTATTTTATGTTATCCATTTTCGGCCGACCAACCCTAAAATTTTTAAAGGTGCCTTGGGCGCCAATATATTCTAATTTTGAAGAGGAACGCGCGCCCAAAAAATCGCAATTGTTTGGTCAAAATTTTTCAAAAAGTTCCCAAAAACGCCTTTTTAAAAAAAAAAAAATTTGCATTCGGCGCTAGCAAACTTTGTCAAATTAGTGTTTTTATAGTATTCTGGGAGTGCCTGGAAAATCAATTCGGTCGACCAAAAAAACAGGTCGACAAAGTTTTCGAAAAAGTCTCCACCCCCCTTGTGAAAATCCTAGATTCGTACCTGAATGAGCAATTTTTTTCCGTCACTTATGTCTTTTTATTTTTCTGTCTGATATTGGCTAGCTAAAAAATCGCTGATTTTAATTACAAGTTGCAATCATAAAAATTGAATTAAGATGAAAAGTTTGGAGAGTGAAAAGGATTTGGAGGATGATGTTTTCATTCTATGATCACAGTTTTAGATGGGTTACCCAAGAGCACTCAAACAAAGTTTTCAAAAATGAATATAAATTGGGCTCTGACTTGACCAAAATGTATTTTTTTATTCTGAGCAAAATTGCATGCTCAATTCAGATTCATTTTCCCTGATGTTCCGGTAGCAATTTGTTTTCGCTCTTATTTAAAGACCGAGAAACCTTGTTTTGTAAAGAGGCTCATTTAATTTTGAGTCTGCGAAAACTTTTGTTGGAAGTGTGAATGCATGACCTTTCGTTATTGGAGAATGATTTAGAAGCTAAAAACTGGCGCATAAAACCAATTGAGCGAAATTGTTAATTGCGACTAAATAGAATTTGAGAAGATTCTTACAATATATCTGTTGGTCTGAAAGAACTTCGCTCCTTCTAACCATGTCGTTTTTTTATTGAAAACTTTAGTTTGATATTTTTTTCAGCAGACTGATGACATTGATAATATTTTCAAAATTTGAATTTAAATTAGGGAAGCAAGTGCATCGTTGTAAAAGAGTGCCTTAATAAAATTTCGAGTAAATATTTGAATAGAAATACTTTTTCATTGTATAGGCTAAAAATCTCGATTTAAAAGTTTCATTACCTCTCTGGTTATTATATCCAATTTTGAAAATCACTACAATGATGGTATTTTTAGACGACCGTTGCGTAGTGTGATAATACGATGCAATTTTTTTCCAAGCTAAGTCGCAATAAAAGTGCTACTTCTGGTAGCAGTCTTAAATCAGTTTTTTATATTAGCAACAGTATAGTATGAGATTTGATATTTGATTGGTAACTAGTTAACACTGTTGATGCTTTTTAAGTTCATCGATTGAACCGGAAGAGGTAATTTGGTTCATAAAATATAATGATTATTGAAATCTTATTTCAGAATGTTTCCAACTCCATGTTTTGCGAATTTTCCAACTCGATGTTTGCAGCTCCAATTTTAAAATGCATATTTTACACGCACTTTGGTGTAATTAACTTACCCTTGCGATAAACAAAGGCATTGTAATTGGGTACTAAAGTTTTTGTCCCGGAAACTACTGTTCACAGAATAGTCAATGTAGTCGGAATGATAATTATAACTTCTGACATGCCCAGTTTCTTGAAACTTCAAATATAGCTGCCATCATTCAAGCAGCAATTAGTTAAAACCCGTTTCAGATAGTATTATAAGATATTATTTATGGGTTTTGGATTCCCCTTGGAGTTTTTTTCTGTAGAATTTGGGCGCTGAATGAACTTCGTCAGCTTATTTTCCGAATGTTTTTTATTAACTTTCTTGGGTATTATGTGGAAGTGTTTATTTTCCAATATAAAATTTTGGAAAACTTAGATCAACTGTCTAGATTTTCATAAAAAGTGAAAAAATAACATTTTTTTCTGTTTTTTGCTAGTCAATGTAAAAATAAATGTTCTATTTCATTTTATTTCACTTCCAGTTAATATTGGTAAGTTTCCGGACTCATTCATTTTTTAGTTTGAACTTTCCTTGTTTCCGCGTTGTAAGTTTTGTCCAGTTGCTAATTTGAACTTAAAATGTCTTGCTTGGTCTCTTTGCCCAGATTGAGTTTTGGAAAATTCTTCAACCGATTTTCAAAAAAGGGGATTCATAGAAAGACCGCTTCCACCCTTGTGTGCCTGCATACTCTCCTGGTCTCTTTTTCCTTCACCTCTTTGCCTACAGCCTTCGAAAATCTGTGGGGGGAATAATTTACCGATATTTTCTTATATATATTTTTCGTTTTCTTAGAAACTAACGTAAAAAATCTCAGATTTTTGTTTCAATAAAAAAGCAGATTTGAAAAGCTCGCCTTCGAAAGCGGTTACTGTCGAAATTTTACACATAAAATTATGGCGCTCGGATTTGTAAAAATGTTGATTTTTTTCTACCTCCCAAACTTGAGGATAAGGATTCATTGGAGATAACGGGGTGTTGGAAATTCCCCATAATTAGCGGCCATTTGCTAATTTTTTTACCCAAAAGTTATCCTCCTCGGAAAAGTCTTTTTAAAAATTTTTGATAGCTTTTTTTCTAAAACTTCCGACTTTTTGTCGAAAAATACCTTTTCATATCTGGGATTTTGTGTTCATTCTAAAGAACGGGTTATCGAAATCTGCTTTGCATACCCGACTATGCCCAATTTTGTTGGCTCAAAAATTTAAGGCCCGGATTTTTTTGATCGTGTTTTGAATTTTTTAAACTCTTCTCGGGAACTACCCAGCCAAACCTGGGTTTTTTGGGTTCAATCGAAAACCCTGGTTGGATGAATTTCTTCTGCATAAGCGGTCGAGCAAATTTTTTTGAAACAAAAAGCTATGATTCCCGGAAATTTGGGCTGTTCTCGAAAACTATCCTGCCATATCTGATATCATAGGTTCAATCGACACAACAGTTTGTTGAAAGCTCTCTTTTATATACTGCTACACCAAGTTTTGAAAAAGTCATGGCCTTCAAACAAGTGAAAGTTTTGAATTTTTGACAACTTGTAGAAGTTTTTGATTTCACTCGAAAATTACCGTGCTAATTTTTAGGTTAAGAGTTGAATCGAGAAACTCGTTTTTAAAAATTGTCTCTGCTTTACTGGTAACTACCTGCTTTTAGCAGAAAAAAATTATGGATTTTGGGTTGTCAAACTTTTGAGTTTTCACCGTTTTTTAAAAACTTTTGTTTTTTTTTAAAACTGCACTATCAAATTTGAGATGAAAAATTCAATTGAATGAAGCAGCGGCTGCGCTATTTTTTTTGCAGAAGCGGCTTCTCCTTAATTTTTTGTTAGAGAAATGTTTGGTCATTAGGAATTTTCGTTATCTACTTTGAGTTATACAAGGTCTATACGATGTGTTTTTCTAAGAGTTGATTAGCATAGTGAAGACTCTTGCATAGGACATGATGATTTTTTTTTCAGGAACATTCTTCAAACTTCATTCAAGCTCATCACGTTCAGCATTGGTTTTTTGCGGTTCGAATTTTGATTTCTTTTTAATTTCATTTCTTTTGTTTGAAAGAAGAGCAATATTTTATTGTCGGAGAAACGCTTCTAAGCTTTTTAAAGTATACAATGCAGCTTTAGACTTTTTGAGTCATGAAAACAAACATTTTCATGCAAGCAAACAAAGGCTTGAAAACATACAGAAAAGATACAGATTTTCGACAGAAATCGTGAATGGAGGAATTTATAGGTATATTTTCAGTACATAAAAACAAGTCTGGATACCAACACAGCCAGTTGACGGGAGAAAAAGTTTCTGTGCTTAGTGCCAATCAACTGGCAATCCTTTCCGTAGCTGTGAACTGAAAACAAAATACTGCTATAAAACTTCAGTAGCAACAATATTTGTATTACCACCATTCGATTTAAATCAGATCAGCGTTACGATTAGATCAGCAAACCGAGATAACCTATATAGATAAATCATTAAGTTATTAGAACCTACAAAGGGGTGCTCCAGAGCCTTATCCCAAAATCACATAGGCGCTCCAGGCACAGTTTCTCGGTGCTCCAGACCCTAATTCCAAAACCACTTAGGGGCTCCAAACAAATTTTTCAAACCACAGGGGCACTCCAAAAAGGAAAATAAAACTACATGTATTATATCCTAAGTGCTATGAAATGACTATATTATTGGTTAATTAAATGAATCATATTATTTGCTATATTTGTTTCGGGCAAATGAACTTTCGATCTTGTTGAAATTGGTTTGTCAAAGGGGAATTGACTTTTATATTGAAAAAGCAGTGAATTGAAATCACTCTACAGGCGGCGGCCGTTTCTGGGCAAGTTAAAGCAATTGATATTTTTGTCAATTTTTCAAATGAGAAAAGTGAACTTGGAGGGAACTTGGTGTACTGAAGATTTTGATAACTAACTCATACAATTTAGAGTGTTTTCAGCCAGACAAAAAAATTAATGTTTCAAACCGGGGAGAAACAGTACGATGTCTTTTTTCGAGAGGGGAATGGAAGTTTCAATGGGAAAAGGACAAGTGAAAAAAGGAAAAAGGGAAATGAATGTGAAAAAATGCACCAAGCTTTTTGCGAAACTTAAAAAAATAAAAAGGTAGTAGTAGAAATTGTTTTCCTCCAATTGTTTTCAAATCACGTTATTACAAACACTTCAGCTTAGCTGTGAAAGAAAGAAGTTAATCATATAAAGGATCATTGCAGTACAAACAATTTTATAAAATGCGAACAAGCTTAAAATAAAAGTAGCCAAACAGTTTAGCAATGATAATCAGTCGCTTTTATTTGAAAATTTTCTTCGCTTGCACACTATTTCCGGGGACGAATTCATATCACTAGAGTCACTTTCTTCAACTGTTCTACTTTCAGTAGCTTCAGATATTATAAAAGGGTTCTTTGGGTATGCG